TCGGGCAAACTACGAAAAATGTAAAACTTGAAAGTGTAAGAACTCTGCCTACTGGTTGCTTAGAGCCAAACTGGTATTAACTCCATGTAAACATATATGACTTAATGCCCTACTGGCTCCAAACAGACTATGTACTTATTCTTGTTCTCTCCGGTTACTCTACCAGGGAGACCGCTAAAAAAGCGTTCCCTTTTGTATTCTCATTTAGATGTTACCTCCCAAATCGTCATCAAATTACATTCAAATGAAACACAATTCATTTATTTATCTCTAATCCAATCCCATTTCTCTCATAAGCTAATAGAACCGGTCGACCTTGGCCAACGGTCGTCGTAGTACGCCCTCCCGCCTGCCTTCCTGCCTGCCTGCCGTGCAAATGGAACTGTACTTTTTCCCAATCAAATCAAAATTTAAACACTCAAATTAGCCCGCCTACCATGACAAGTACCTGCAATATTGATGATGCTAAATGCTAATCCATGCGGGCATGTGTTGCTTACCTCACGCCAGCGCGGAAGGTAAATGTGCCAGAGAAAGGCGATTAAAGATTTACAGCGTGCAAACAAGGATGTGCGGGGCACGTGAACACGTGCCTGTCTGTTACGCACTGCAAATATGTATCGTTTCAAAGAGTCCACAAATTTGATGTGTTTTAGGCTTTTGCATTAATGGAACAGGACTTCTACTTGGGTACGGTTGGTGAATGTTCATCTGGACTTCAAACATTCCCCCGTTTCACATTGATTTCTAGTCGAGCATGTATTTGTTTGAGAAACAAAGAGGATTTGTAGATCTGCCATGAGCTAAATCTCCCTACGTGCATGGTTAATTTGTAGTATTGCATCCTGGGATTAGAGCCATGTCTGATTGCCAATTTGAGCATGTAGCGATGGATTTGCGGAAAAGGATTTTAATTGAAATTCTGTTTGCAATGGAGAATGGACTGGCAATATGGATCATGTCCCTGGGGCTAAATAGAACATAGATTTGATTTTGGAAAGAGGCAGTTGATCGTAAATCTCGCATATACATGATTGTAAAGTGGCTTGACTTTCATTTATATATATATATATATATATATATGGGTGTCCATTAAGATTAGATAATACCATCTGTAGCTTGGAGTCATGAGGGTGTCTTCTCGATTTGTCGGTTATGATTTATCACCAGAAATCATCTATCAGTTGGATTTTTAAAAAAAGATCCCATAAATTCTGAATATTTTATTGCAAAGGATATGGTGAAAAGCTGTCAAAAATTGTAGATTAATCCATTGTACTCTGAAAAATGTCGATAATTATCATAAATCTTCAGTGACATCTGTTTACATGTATATCATCTGTTTAAAGTCAGAAGGATGCCAGCGCATATATATTTACATAGTGTTACTACCTTTCTGGCTCTCAACAGGCGATATGACCCTTCCCCCATCCGTAAGATTGGAGTATTAAAACATTTCTACGTAGTGTTTTCATTTTAGAAATTCTCTGAAACTATAGGCCTGTCTTCATCAGCTCGAGATTGCCGAATAGCCCGCTATTTCTGAATTGGAAAATAATCCAGAAGTTACAGTTGTGTCCTCATCAGCTAGAGACTTGAACTATAAACTTAAAACTCAAGCTCGAGAAATTACCTCAAGATATTTTGCTCAGCGTTTGCGCATAGTGCAAGTCTTCGGGCTGGTGAAGACGCACTGGACAAATAGCGGGATATTTTGAATGTGGTGGTGGTTATTTTACCTGGCTGCTAGGAAAGCATAAATGCTTGTAAATGCTTGTAATCAACCAGACGGCTTTAGGTCCTCTCCGAGGCACCTGGTAATGAGGATTAATGCCTTACCAAAGGGCACTAGCGCATCGACTTGGTTTTGAACCCGGGTCACCGGATCACAAGACCACTGCTCTACCGACTGAGCTATCGCGCCATGATATCTTGGGATGATTATCTCGACCAAATATCCTGCTAATTGCAACTTCGGGCTGATGAAGACGCAAATTAACTGGATAATTTGCGATCGGGATAGTTCAAATAGCGGGAAATTTGGCAATCTCAAGCTGATGAAAACAGGCTTAAAGTCATTTTTCCAACCTAAACTGCCAACCTTTAAAATATGCATGTTTGGCTAACGAATGGAGGGATACATTCCTCAAGTATGAGAAGTGTCAGGGGATATATCTACCGAGCTCGGCTGATGGGGGGAAGTTGAGGGTTAATTTAATTGTCTTGATGTGCCGCATGACCAAGGAGAAAACCCCGTGCTGTGGGGTCTGCTAAATGAAAAATGTCTCGCTAGGCCAGCTCGCCGCTACGATTTGTCTCCATTATTCCTCGCGAGGAATCATTTCTGGAATGAAAATAAAGCGGCTGAAGTGGGCGAGGGATGAAGTCCCGCCAATGATGAAAAGCTAAGGGTGTCATAACATACAGGGCTAGCTAAGGGAAATGACAGGGTGTTTGGTTATAAAGAGACATCAAAGTAAGCTCATACATGCTTCTTGCAAGTTAGATTGATGCGCTTCTACAATGTAAGGTAGTAGAGTTTGATCAAAGTTCATTCCCTATTTTTGTGTTTGTTGAAAAAGGTTATATATTCTGAAGTTGTCTTGCATTATAATGCTAAATGGCAAGCCCAACATGAATGATATTGTCCCATACATAACAATGTAACACAAAATTGACATTGAAAGTATCAAATTAATGTATTTTGTATTCAGGCATGGCATTGCTGCAGTCGATCAATATGAACATGTAGTCAATTTTAATACTTTTGTATGACTATTTTATAGTACTACTAGTATTCTATTGAACTTGGTCATGTATGGGATAAGAAGATAGAAGCCTTCACGTTTTACTTACCATATCCCATACATAGTTTAAACCTTGTTGTCATTTGAGTTTGTTGTTTCTCTCTGTAGCCATCTCTCTATCTCTTTTCCTCCCTCTTTCTGTCTCTCTGTCTGTGTGTGTCTCTCTCTTTCCCTCACACACACACAGACACCCTCACTACCCCCCTCCTTTCATTATCTCTCTCTCCCCTCTCCCTCTTTCTCTCTCTTCTCTCTCTCTCTCTCTCTCTCTGTCCTTTCATTCTTAATTATCTTTTGCTAACTATCTTTCATTTTCTCTTTTTAACTCTCCCTTCACTTCTCTCTCTCTCTCTCTCTCTCTCTCTCTCTCTCTTTCTATTATGAAAAAGGTTTATAAAAATGGTGATGTCATATTGTCTGTTTTGCTCTGAGAAACGGTCAGCTGATTATTGACTAATAAGACTGGTTTCCACATCCTCTTTCACTTCCCCTTACTCACATTCTTCAATGTTTCCTATCTATTCACTGAATCACATCATTCTGGTGGGTGTTTCACAAAACTTGTCATCGGTGACAAATGACAATTCTTGTTATAAGCTACTGAAATCCTTGCTTCTGATTGGTTATCACCAGACTTTTCACTGATTTTTGTCATTTGTCAGTGAAAGAAGGCTTTGTGAAACAGGTCCCAGGTTTGCAATGAATCATATCATGCAGGATTTCAATCAATGACTTCACAAATCATACCTGTTTATTAAAAGGGAGTGACGTTTTTGCATTTAAAGTACTCTACATGTCATTCAATTCATTTAAAGGGAAAGTCCACCCCCAAAATAAGTTTGTTTCGATAGAGGCAGAATAATAAGAAAATCAGGTGAGTGAAAGTTTGAGCAAATTCTGAATGAAAATAAGAAAGTTATGAATTATTGAAGTTGTGATCAATCAAATACAAATTGGCAACTCTGTGACTTATTATACGAGCTCTCCTTCATTTGCTTTGTGCATAATATTCCATAAAATCATGTTTTCTTCGTTATTGATGACGGAATATATATTTGTTCCTTGCAGGGGAGTATAGAAACATATTTGCAATTATTATATTTAGGGTGCATGTATGGTTGAAATTTTTCTTGAGGGAAAATGAAAATTTTAGATTTTTTTAGTACTGAGCAAATGGAAGTTGAGCTCGCATGATACGTCATAGAGTTGCCAATTTGTGTTTGATTGATCACAACTTCAAAAATCCTAACTTCCTTATTTTTAATCGGAATTTGCTCAAACTTTCACTGACTTGTTTCTCTCATTTTTCTACTCCTACTAAAACTAACTTATTTTCAGGGTGGACTTTCCCTTTAAAGTATAATATTTTATTAGACTGGATACACTCAATGAAAATCAAAGGTTTATCTGACAATGAAATATCTTTCATTTAAGGGCCACAAAAAGTTACAAAAATGTCTTCTTCTTTTTCTGTGTAGATTGCAGTGCACATCTAGAGTAATGTACAAGTACCTTTGGGAATGTTTAAAATTCAGAACGAGTTGTCATTTTGAGTTGCATATTAAATTCTATTTTGAAGAGTCAGAGATATTCTCAAGATTGAAGACTCATGTCTTTTGCTGAACCACTCTGTATAGAGTCTTCTTTTTATGATTCCAACATTAAAATGGCCGCCAACACCAACCTGTCTACAAAGACCACTTTTTGTGTTTCCCTTGGGTGGTCGCTATAGACAGGTTTCACTGTATCATACGTAATCCTAACATTCTTGGGGAAGGGTTGAATGATTTTGCTTGTCAATAGATTTGTTAGATCAGATTATATTCTTTTAGCTGAGCTACTTTTGAGTCTACTATCTTATAGTGCTCCCAACATTTTCTAGGAAATTGAAAAATTATTCTAGTGTCAGAAAATGATATGAAGATCGAAATCGAGCTTCTTTTGATGAACCACTCTGTAGAGAGTGATTTTTTCTTCCTGAAACCCGACCTACTTTCAGGAAATGATAGAAACCTGAGGGTTGGTTTATTAAGGATATCATCAAGGAGAGATTCACTACTTGTTAGCGGGATAGAAAGACAGAAAATGAAAAACTCACCGTGTTTTCATTTCTTTTTTGAGGAAAAACCCTCAGGACTTATGAGAGCATGAGAGAGAGAGAGAGAGAGAGAGAGAGAGAGAGAAAGAGAGAGAGAGAGAGAGAGAGGAAGAGAGAATGAGAGTGGGGAGAATCAAGAAATGACTGACTTTGGTCTGTCTATTTCAGATGATATTTCACCAAATGCTCTATAAGTAGTATTAAATGTTTTTTTTTGTTTTTTTTCTGTGAATTTGAGACTGATATTTGTCTATTTGTTGCTGAGTGTTTTGATGAGTGATAAGATGCGTGCATTAAAACAACGTTTTAGACTTCAGAATAAAGAGATGTTTTCCTTAACCCAGACTTTCCATCAGATTTGGTAGACCTGGAGTAGACTGTCACGTAAGGCATGATTCCGACACAGCAGTACTCCAACTCATGTTTCTTGTCAACGAGGTAAGACATCACCATGAAGAAAGAAAAAAATTGAATATATAGTATAGAAATTGCTATGTATTATTTTCTAGTTATCTGTGTTAATCATAAAGACCCCCCCCCCCCTCTCCCTGCCCCTTGAAACAGCAGTACTCCAACTTCCATTAGACCCTTAGACAACTACCAAGGGCATTTCAAATCAAAGGGGAATTGTCCAGTGGGCTATTATCGTAGGGGTGGATGTCCAAAGGTTCATGTAGCTTTCAGAGGGGCTTGAGTAGTTTTTGAGTTTGAAGTGCAGGGGGATGGGGGTGTACATCTAATTGAAAGCCATCTTCTGTTTTAAAGCATTGTGTGAATAGGTACATGTATGTGTATATGTAGGTTAAAACTGTAGTACCCTTTAATACTTACATGTATGATTAGGATACCTGTTTAAGGCTTGATCAGATATGGCATGGTATACCGCGGCAAAGCCCCGCTGAGGTTTTATTTCGTGTAAATGAATGCCAACTACGCACATCAAAGGACTCCAGTGAGTGTATTCACTGAGCTCTGTGTTATAAGATACAGAATCGTGAAACGTAGTACACTTTACATCGTAAAAAAAATTGTAGCAGTTTTGCAGTATCATATCTGAATAAGCCTTTTACATTTAATTAGAATTTCCAAGTCCCCTTTTAAAATCCCTACTACTTGAAATTTTATTTTTTGAGGTTGACACATCTGATTGACCATTAAGAATCATTAAGCCATTATATACCAGTTTAAAATGACCTCAATTACTTGAGAACATTCTTTAATGAATTTTCCTCTTTGTTGTTGCAGGGGGCCCTTGTAAGTGTATGTGCAGATGATAGCTTACATCTATGGAACCTTCGTCAAAAGAGACCAGCCATTCTTCACTCTCTCAAGTTCAATAGAGAAAGGTAAGAAATTCACAAGAAATTGAATATGAAATGAAATTGATATTTTAAACTTACTGCTACACCATGTCAACAGAAAGCTTATACTTGTATTGACTTGGTAATGATAACAATTTAAAAAATGAGAGAAATAGATTTGTGGCAGACCAAGAGTAATCTGATGAAAATATATTAAGTGTTGTACATTCAAACCTGCTTTAGTGACCACCTGTCTACAAGGACCACATTTTTTGTTTCCCTTGCAAATGGTTTCTCATTTAAACATGTACTTAAGGAATCTGTCTACATAGACCACCTGTCTACAAAGGCCACTTTTTGTGTTTCCCTTGGGTGGTCGCAATAGACAGGTTTGACTGTAGTTGTATGTGGCAGTGTATGTACCCCTTGAAGTATCACTCTCATTTTTGTTTTATGTGCTGCACATTTTTATAAATTTACATTATCTTGGTTGTTGATGAAGGAAAAAATATGTTTATTGGAGGGTTTGTGGAAAAAACATTGGGTGGTATTTTAGAAAGCGGACTGACTTTAGTCCATGGTTTAATCCACCGACTAAGTATGGAATGCCAAGTGTCCATATGAATATGTTTTTGAATAATTTAATCTGTCACTAAATTAAAATAATATACAAATATACGAAGCTGTGAGAAAGAATAGTGGAAATTATTTATCTGAGGAGGGACTGGCAAAGTACTATTTTGTCCAAGGGGCAAAGCCCCGAGGAAGAAATAGTAACTATTGCCAGTCCTTCCGAAGATATATAATTTCCACTATTCTTACGAACTAAATGCTTGGTATATTTGTTTTATATCACTTCGTTACGATCCAAACGTTTGACTTAATGATTGGCTGGCATATGGTTTTTAACTTTATTCTTATGTCACCCACATTGGGCCGGTTATTGGAGAATTTCACAATCAGTTTGAATTTGGCAATTTAACCTGCGCACAATTATATTAACGCACATTTAATGAGACGCCCTAATTGTGCATTATTTTTGACTGAACATGATGTGATGTCACAATGCTTTTCTACCTGAAAATCTCATAGAGCATGCGCAGTTCTGCCCATGAAAAAATAGTGGAAAATATTTGGAGCTCTGGCAGAGATTTGTTTCAAATATTGAAATTATCTTTTATCACGTGGCCACCAATTGACCAATCATGTATTTAGAAAACTCATGAATATTCATAGAAGGGATATAAAATGTAATAACATAAATAGTAAACAACAATATAACTATTATGTAATTATATTATCATGGCAATTTAGGGACATATCAAATTATTTAAAAATATATTCATATAGACACTTCCATACTTGGATTAAACCATGGACTAAAGTTAGTCAGCTTTCAAGAATACCACCCAATGGCCCGAATTCACAAAGCAAGGTTTGAGCTCAGACCAAGGTTTGTCGTCAAACCTCCTTTTGTTTCGCCAAACCTCCTTTTGTTCTTTTCAAACCAGGTTTGTAAATAACAAAAGGAGGTTTGGCGAAACAAAAGGAGGTTTGACGACAAACCTTGGTCTGAGCTCAAACCTTGCTTTGTGAATTCGGGCCAATATGTCCAACAATAGAAATCTGTGTAAGTTTTAGTACTCAACAAATGGGAGGTGTGATTGCAATGTATACTACACAATTGTCTGTAAATGAAACCAGTGATGACTTGAAGAAGTTCATGTAATATTGTACCTGGATTAATGATATTTTCAAATACGATTCTATGAACAATTGCAATAAGTGGCAAAAGTAAAATATAAAATAGTTCTTTTGTATTGATTCACATATTAGTTCATTCTGATATCTAATTGGATTCACCAAATGTTGTTTTTCTTTTAATAGAGAATACCGTAGTTTGTGTCATCCCCTTACTGATATCTTTTTTCTTTGAAGGTATTTCATACATTCTGAAAGGAATGAAATGGCCCCATGGAAGACCAGCAGCAACAATTATAGTTGCAGCTGAATATGGGCTACCAGCCGTATACGGTCCCTTTTTCTCTGTATGATTATTTTATATGTATTTGTATCTGATTTTTTTATTATACAGAAATAAAAACAACAAACAACAACAACCTTCTGGTATAATCTTCTTCTTTTTTTTGTAATAATCATAAGATACCTTTGTGGAGGTATTCAACAGCTAGATAAATGTGGAAAGCATTTTTAGATACAGTCAAACCTGTCTATAGCGACCGCCCAAGGGAAACACAAAAAGTGGCCCTTGTAGACAGGTGGTCTTTGTAGACATTTTCCTTTAGTACATGATTCAATGAGGAACCATTTTCAAGGGAAACAACAAATGTGGCCTTTGTAGACAGGTGGTCACTAAAGCAGGTTTGACTGTATCTCATCCCATAGAGTGGTTGCTGATATGTTTTTACTGCAATTCAATCTATACATTTTTCTATCCTTAAACAAAATTAACAAATGTATCACTATGCTTCTTCACAAAATTTAGTTGAGTGTTTACAGAAAAGTGAAGGTTATGGCCAGGTCATTCATTCAAACTAAAGAGACAAGAAAAAAAGACAACCATGTTTTGTTTGTTTCTAAAAAGAGCGAATCAGAATCGATTATTAATCACAAAAACTGGAACAGGTTGAGATTCCAAGATTGAGCAATTAAAAATCATGTGGTATGCACTTCATAAATCAGGAAAGTAATATCTTTGCCATTTTTGTCCTTCCTTCCATGTCGACGATCGAGTCTGATACAAATTGAACAATTACTTGATGCTCATTGCTCTCTTTTCTTGATTGAGATAGGGAAATGACAATGCAAAATGAATGAACGTCTCATGGAAGAGAGCCCTGAAATTGTATCACAAAAATATGTGTCCCACTCGCAATTATTGACCTGCCAAATGAAGTGGATGCTTTTTTTTTTTAAAGTTGTTTATTTTTTCAGTTGAAATGATTATTTGTTCACAGGCAGTATAACACATGTTATATTGTTCACAGAATCTCTTTTAGGACTGGCAACTGAAGTAGGGCAGGTATCCTTTTGATATAAAAAAAAATGTATTTTCTTTAAAAAGATCTTTTTGATTTACCAAAACTCTTTTCCATTTCTTTTTTTAATTTGTATAATTACATTAATTTACCATTTAAATGTATAATGATCAATAGTGATTCACCTTTTTTAATTTATACTTTTTATCAGTTTATTTTTTTCCACAAATGTATTTAATTTTAGTACATCCAATATTGTGGATAGTGATTTTATTTCCAAACTATATTGTTGTACAATAAATAGTGGACATACATGTTATCTATGTATGACATTGAATACTAATGATTAGAGTATTGGTGTTTAACATGTTATAGATAGTGATCTAAGATATTACAAATCTTATAAATTCTACATAGTATTATATTATAGGAAGATACCTGTATGTATACAGTGTAAGACAGGCACAATTTTCTGTGCTTGAGCGGTATTTTCGTAGACTCTGAAATAACGTTGCCGCTAACGACCAGACCTCTATGAGAGCTGAAATAGTTTGACGTCACTGCAGTCAAGGGTCTCATATACACAACACGATCTAGACCAACCCTTCATCCATCCTTTCTTTCTCTCTCCCTCTTTCTCTCTCTCTCTCTCTCTCTTTCTCTCTCTTTCTCTTTCTCTCTCTTTCTCTCCCTCTCTCTCTCTTTCTCTCTCTGTCTTTCTCTTTCTCTCTCTTTCTCTCTCTTTCTCTCTCTTTCTCTCTCTTTTTGTATATTACTTTCTTCCCCACTTTCTCTCACTGTATCCCTTTGTCTCTTCTCTCTCTCTCCTTTTCTCTTCTCTCTCTCTCTCTCTCTCTCTCTCTCTCTCTCTCTCTCCTTTTCTCTTCTCTCTCTCTCTCTCCTTTTCTCTTCTCTCTCTCTCTCTCTCTCCTTTTTCTCTTCTCTCTCTCCTTTTCTCTTCTCTCTCTCTCCTTTTCTCTTCTCTCTCTCCTTTTCTCTTTACCTTTTTCTCATTCTCTCTTCCTCCTCCTCTCTATCCCCTCTTCCTCCTTCTCTCTTTCCCCTGCCCCCCCCCCACCCCCCCCCCCCCCCCCCCTGTCTCTCTCTCTCTCTCTCTCTCTCTCTCTCTCTATCTCTCTGTAGTACTCCCTCCTGTGCTGTTCAAGTACAAAATCTTTTAAAATAAAATTTCAGAAAATATTACTTCTTTCTTGTTAAAAAATAGTTGTCTTTGTGATAGCTAATAATGGTGTTATTATACTGTATCTTCTTCTAAGTTCTGAGTAAGAGCTAGATGAGAATTAATGTTTGCACTGACTGTATTTTTGTTACAGAGTAAAATTCTTATAATAGGCGGTGCGACTTCCTGGCCAACAGATGAGTTGTACAATATTCCACACACACACACAAAATTAGGCATACATTTGTAATCATGCGGGTTCTACCTTTTTTTTAAAGAGTTTTGTGAATCCGACTGTGACACAAAATCCTGGTGTTGGAATCGGGATATTCCTCACCGCTCTCTGCCATTCCATCCAAAGTCACGGCAAAGCAAGGGGATGCCAATTTGCTGATTGACGATGTGCAGGGGTCTATTTATAGCCGGCGATGTGCGTGTCCCTCATGACCCAGCCAGGTTGTCTCTGCCGATGCATAATATATAAGATGGAATGGTCGGAGGGTTATTGTCGTGCCACAGGTTACGAGACTCTCTCTCTCTCTCTAGATTGAAATGTGGCTCGACAGACTGTTTTGTTTTTGAAACATCTATTTATGTTTTTATTTCATTTCATGGTTCAATACAAATCGTGATTAGCAGCCAATGGCAGAATTGTACACAATTTACAAATACATTTTAAAATACATGGAATGTGATATTGCTAATCAATAGAGAAGATTAATATTTACATGTTAATTGTTATCCTTACAAGAAGGTTCTATTATTTAATATTTACCCTCGTGCACAAAATATCAATGAAAATAACTAAGTTTTACCCATTTGAGTCTCCCATTCACCAACTATAAAAAGGGAATGAACATGCGCATACATTTACATAATTATGAATCTTTATATGATTAACAATAGTTAAGATTCATAACAATGTACTGAGAAAAATAAAATCAATGTTCATTTTCGTGTATAACTCGTCCCCCTTCCTTTCCTTTTCTTTCCCCTCCCTCTATTTATACCCTCTTCTCTCCTTACGTCCACCTTTCGTTCCTATCTTTCTCTCTCTCTCCCTCTATCTCTCTATCTCTCTATCTCTCCCCTCCCTCTCTGTCTCTTTCCCCCTCTCCCCTCTCTCTCTTATTACTATTTTGCTCCTCAGTCTCCTTACGACTTTTTCCTCACTTCTCAATCTTTGAATGTCGACTTCTTTCTTAAGTTTTCCCTATTACTATGTAATTTATACTTATGCTTTTTGTTAATGTCATGATCTCGTGTGAATTTATGTACATTATGTGACATATCAATTATTTTGTAACTACTTTGTATTGTGTTTATGTGCTGCCAGTGGAGGCCAATTTTCTATGTTTTTGAATATGGACCAATAAATTATCTATCTATCTATCTATCTATCTTCACAATTTCTATTATGATCATGGTACAAGTAACCATTATTATAAATATTATAACAAGGTATATACATAATAATAGTAATAATACTCAGTATTTATATAGCCCTTATTAAAATCACTATAAGCGCTTCCAAACTTGGAAATTACCACCCCGGCTTTAGCTGTGCTGCCATTACTGCGCTCTAGCATTTCAAGGAATTAATTCCTGCCAGGTTTACATCACCTGGGTTGAGTGTGGCAAATGTAGATCAGTGTCTTGCCAAATATACATAGAAAGTTTATGTTGTTGACCACCTGACAATAAAATGCTATATATATTCATATCCCATGTGAGTTGTCCTTAATATGTGACCTTCTTAATAATTGTGACCTTTTTTAATATCAAGATAGAAATTTATAATATTTTAAATGAGAAATAGTTCTCAAATAATTATAAATGTCTTTCAAAGTATCAAACATTGTATTGAACTCCAAGACGTTTTTGCATATATATCCTTCTCTTTTATTGTATATGATTTTGGGCACTGACCATGTGAACATGGGGAACCTATAATCTACAAGCTGAGCTTTTTAATAGGTTCCTCACATTTCACCCTGTATAACCTACTATTCAATACAATTAATTTTGACGTCTTTACAAGGAATTGATTATACAATGTGATACTTTTAGTATATTTCATATTCTGTTCTAATTTTGTCAATTATGTGAATTCTTTTTTGTGAAATGTGAAACAAAATAAACTTGAAACTTGAAACGTGTTGTGCATTGATGATCTAACCCTCCATGAAATGGAATTTATGGGACTGTTGATGATGATTTATATCCTCTTGCTTGTATTTTGACAGGATAACATACTGCACTCTCCCTTTCCAGAGCAAATGGCTATACATTGGAACGGAGAGGGGGAACGTCCATGTTGTCAACATTGAATCGTTTGTGCTTTCGGGTTATGTTATCAATTGGAACAAAGCAATCGAATTGTAAGTATTTCATTTATTCATTTCCATGTCAAGATAAAAACAATAATTACATAATATTTGATGGCTTTGAGTGTGATACAAGAATATATTGCTCGAGCTATGACAATATTGGACTCGTCTCCGACTCGCTCAATATTGTCATAGCGAGAGCAATACACGAAAACAAAGCCACATAATATTAGTATTATTATCTATATCAGGCTGACTAGCGAAATAACAACATTTGACTTACCTTGGTGAATATGGCTTTTTTGTGTGTGTGATATCGATATCGATAGTTGAAGTTACCGGATGACTGAGCAATACAAAAATAATATTGGTCAGTCATCCGGGTACTGCGCTTAAGATATTGAATACACTGATTTATTGTACCACTTGGAAGCCTTATAGATAATAATACATAATCTTCAAAATACAAAGATATATAATAAGATATCTGAAATTGGAAGATCATGAAATCCTTAAAATGCTTCGTAAGAAATGATCCTCACAATATATACAAAATAACAATAAATTTAGTACATAATTTACTTAAAATCAAGTTCACCAAAAAAAGGGAAAGAAAATGGAGAAAAGAAGGAGAATTCAGGATAGTAACAACTGTATTTGTACCACACAATTTTGCCAGGGGGGCTGACTTTTCTTAGCCAAACATAATTTTTCCAATTTCCACATTTTCTGAGAGAGTAAAGCTAGTGAGCAAAAATGTTGACATGTTATTAAAGTGTCAATGTCATTTAGTCTTGAAAATTATGGAACATTAGAAATGGACTGCCTCGCTGCTTTAATAAGAGATTGCGGTTTCTGAAATAAATGGAATTTGAAAATATGAGGGGGACTGCAGCCCCCAGCCTAAATCTTCTACGCCTTTGATAACAACATTAAGAAGATGTAAGCTACATGTATGAATATTATTATTCACAGTGTTTCTTTATTTCAACAACAAACACCTGTTTATTGAATATGCAATGGTTTTGTATCCACCGATTTAAAGATTATTGAACATGCAGCAACTTATTGATATAAATGGATAAGTACTGTAAAATTGATTTGAATTTATCCCACAAACGCAGTTGTTAGCATTTGCTGATCCCTCGCCGATGTGATCAAAATAAAATTACAACAGGGTTCTTGAAATTAAGGGCACTTGAAATGTCAACATCCATTACCAATAAGAGGATGGGAGTGAGTGAGCTAGGCTACTCATACACGTAAGCTAACATGTTATTTAGCAGTATCATCTACATGTATCAATCTCATATCATACAGTCGTGTATGCATTCACATATTATAGAAGCCACAGTTTTCTATGCAGTAATGTCTTGTCATCATGTGTTTATCATTCATGGCAAGATTTTCCTAAAAGGATATGTAAATAAGCTTTCTTCTTTAAATTGGCAACACGAGGATTTTGGCATTTGCTTGTTGCGTCTTATCATTAAAAAATTATGGATTTTAAAAAGAATATCATAACAGAAACTGTCACCAAAAAAAATTCAGTGATAGCATATGTTTCAAATTTTAAATGGGCATGTTCATGCAGTGCAAGACGTGCATAATCATATTGGTTTCTGCGTGTATAGATATCTGGTTTCTTGATTGGCAGTATCGTAATTCATCACTATATTCTTCTTTTTTTCAGATCAAGAAAAACACATCCAGGTCCCGTTGTACATCTAAGTGATAACCCTGTAGACGGAAATAAGGTAAGATGGGAACAAAAAATATCATGCCATCCGACATTAAAGCCCCATTGCACTACTTATAGCTAATTGCTCCCTCTATATAGAAAACCATGCCTAAGCGGTGCCTGTTGGTCCCCCATGATACTCTTTTTCTTATGTTAATTGAAAGCTGAGTTGATGAGATAACCACCTGTCAGTGACCATGCTGGGTGGTCTCATCCCCCTGGCCAAACTAGTGCAGACAGGCTTTAAAAGATTAATTTTTATATAACCAAGTGAAGGTTAGAATACAAATGGAATGCTTTCACCTAATAATAATAGTAGTAATAATCTGAATTTATATAGTGCTTAATACAAAATACCGCCTATTTTGCACTTAACAGATATTAGTACCCCGGTCATTAGATTCATTCATGCACAGTGTGCACCATCTCCACTTCCTGGGGAGTATTCCTACCATATGGTCACCGTTAGGGCATATAGCATTTACTAACACTAAGGCTTCTGCATCCTACCATATCTCTCATGGGTATGGAGTGGCAAACAAAAAATAATGCCTTAACTAATGGAGCAGTGGAGATGGTGCAGACTTGTGTGTGGGCTTTAAGTAACTAGAAGTATTGATAGTATCATAAACAGAAACGATGCTTTCATTGAAAGTGCTATATAAATGTGAAATTATATTATATTCTTCTTATTCAATTCAAGAGTTCTTTATTCGCTTTAAAAAGCACATATAAAAAAATAACAAAAAATATACAATATATTCTACAAATAGGCACATTCACAATATATGTAAAGACAAAAAAACAACATCAACAACAGAATACATGTATAACAGGGTAAGATCAGAGTGTGCATAAATACAAGATAATTTCCTCGCACTCCTCTCGGTTAAGGAAACCCTTACATAAATAATCATCCCTCGAGTTGATCAATTCCTTTACTTGTTCAACTATGCGTATTGTCTCATCATTCACTTGGCATTGCACAGCCCACTGCTTTTGAATTTCATTGTTATCCATGAAGTACTTATCATTCAAGAATCTTATGTTACCTCCCAACACAGAATGAGCTCCATACCTGGCCATTCCAGCTATATGTGCCACTGTATAATTTTTGGAATTCATAGCTTTCACAACAAAAGATAAACATCTTTTTGCAAACCATAACTCTGGATCCATAACACCTGCTAAATAATGAAAACCTGTGTGAAGCTTTCAATCGTGACTCAGTATTAACATTGCCTCAGATTCTGAAACAGAATTCTGGATTTAGCTCATGCTGCAATCATAATTATAAACCTTTAGGTCAGTCAGGAATCCCATGACTTTTACAAGCTGATCGATCGCCTGTCTGATCATCAAGATATTTAAGATTGGAAATCTAAATTTAAAAATTGTTTTTCCTAACGGTTTTCATAACAATACAGTCTATTGGTGAAAACGAGTATGGTAAAACTGGTCACTCAAAGGTTTTTACTTTTTCGAGGCACTTGTTGATCATTTTGAAGCGCAATCTTTTGAGGGCTTCAATATAACACCATATGACAGACACTGATAACACGTAGAGCAGTGCATCTCAGATTTAACATTGTTAAACGATGTCTTTAACACCCTCCATCTTGGTTCTTGATCCCTCCTCAGTTACTAATAGGTTTTGAGACGGGTGCAGTGGTGTTATGGGACCTGAAGACGCGGGTGGCGGAGTACCGGTATAACTGCAGCCAGCCCGTCCGCAGCATCGCATGGCACTACGAGGGAAAGCAGTTCGTCTGCAGTCACACAGACGGCACGCTCACGATATGGAACGTCAGGAACTGCATCAAACCCGCCAACATCATCTCTCCTCACGGTCAGTTCAGGGACCTGTTTCACAAAGCCTTGTTTCAATGACAAATGACAAATATTAGTGACAAATCTGCTGATAACCAATCAGAAGCAAGGATTTCAGTAGCTTATAACAAAAACTTTCATTTGTCACTGATGACAAGTTTTGTGAAACACCCTCCCCCCCCCCCCCCCCCCCCCAGGATGCAATTTTATTTCGGTGTAGCTTACGGAATGCCCCCCACCCCTTCCCCTCCCATAAAATTGTTTTAAAAAGAGAGAAAGAAAGGGAGAGACAGAATGCAAAATGAAGATGATACAATCCTCTCACACCCCCTTCCCCGCTTGACTTGAAATAGTGAATATGTTTTACAACAACTTTTGTTGTAATTACACAACCCAGCTACTGCATTTTTCAACAGTTTCTAATCTTCACCAGTGAAATGAAATGCAATTGCATTATTAAACTTCAGGCTCAGTTTTAAAAAGTGATTTCTTTCTGTGATGTAGTTAAACATTATGGTCCACCCACCAACCTCAAACTGCTGGTTTTACAGGTTGCTAGATCCTTCATGTTTCTAAATGTAATTTTATACAGGTGTTATGAATATGCAAATATTTCTTTGAATATTCATGCTTAAGTTAGAGATCGTCAATGGAGCGAATAAACTTCCTCTGATTCCGACATGATCAGTCATCTCATTTTGCATTAATATCATCTATTAAAGTTATCATGATTTGATTCGTTAGGTGACATATGAGACGTTTAGAATACTTGGCGTGATACAAAACCGTCTGCCTCGACTCAACATAAAAGTAGAAGCAGTCAGTAGGGGAGTACAAGATCTGAATTTTTTTTTGAACCGCCCAACCTAACAACATGTATCCATGTGATTTTGTGAAATGCGATAATTCATTTGATTGACTTGAAACTGAATTTAAAAGTGTTCTGTTTGTTTTTCTTGCAGCCAAAGTACCTGCCAAAGGATTAAAGCCGGAGCCATGCGCCCCAGTGCCCAAGGTAGAATGGGCATCCGTCAAGAGCGGGTAAGTTAACCCCCCCCCCCCTTGGAAATCAGTATTATTCTTTTCATTTCATTATATCTGTTTGTCTTGATGAACAAAAACTGTTCAATATTCTCTGATTTGTATTTTCTGATTTGTATCTGCCCTTTTTCATAATCTCAAACACACTGTATGCATTGTCTGTCACTTGAATTCTCTTTTCTTCAAAATTTATGTATAAATACACACATCACTTCACCAGAATATCGGCCCTGTATCTTTTAGGGATAAATATATCATCTGTTACCCGCAAGAAGGCCATTACTACCTTTAAAAATATATAACTCTTACAGCCTTTCTTATCGTAGAAAAAAAGAAAAGCATTAGTTCAATGTAACAGAGTTGTATTGCAGTACAAGGATTGATGTGCGGAAGGTTACACGAAATGCACGCTCATTTGTTTCCAGTGATTTAAAGGTCGTCTGTACTAGTTTGGCTAGGAGGGATTAGACCACCCAGGGTGGTCACTGACAGGTGGCTATCTCATCAACTCAGCTCTCAATTAAAAAGAGGATCATGGGGGACCAATGGTCACCGATTAGGCATTGTTTTTTATATAGAGGGAGCAAGTAGCTACTAGTAGGACAATGGGGCTTTTAATAGTCACTGGGAGGGGGGGGGGGGCAGTATCTTCTTTATATGATGTTTCTTATTGTTACATGTCATGTTTTCTTCTTTTCTTGTTGTGTGTAGTTTTGATCTGTTCCAGTCATCGTGAGTTTCTTCTCTGTCTTTGACTCTTTTACCCCATGTTTCCTACATGTATCCCAGTTCATCTCTCTTGAATGCAACCATCCCAGCCATTCTATCTCATCGCCCTAACATGTTCATCATCATTCTACTCGTAACTTCTAATGCATTACATGTGAATGCTATATTCAAAATACATTGTAACATTTCATTGATATGCTCCTAAATGCCATTTACATGTTCACATTCATGAGATGATATTGTCATAATGAGCAGGATTCGTCATATGATTGTGCATAGTAAATAGGGTTGAATTAGCACAACGGGGTGAATAGGAACACAAAGTGGAAAATTAAATGTTGGGACAATACACTGTTCTTTTTTTATCTCAAGGATTGGTGCAGACCCTTTTCTCTTTTTATTTAGGATTTAACAGCGAAAAGACTCTTGGAAAATTATATCAAAGCACTGTATCTAATTGTTGTTCCTATTCATCCTAATGTTTCTATTCTGTATTATGATGGAATGTAAAAGCTCTTGATTTCATTGCAAATAATTATATGACAGTGTATGAGTGAGGCTGAATACTAATAATTATCATTATTTGTTTCCAACGGACAAAGGTGAAAGTAGCGCATTTTTTTAAGGGGGTCTGTTTTTATCACCATAATGAGAATCTAACACTGTTTTAGAGTAGTGGTACATCATGAATTATGTTCATCTACCTTCATTTTGTTTAACCTCATGTTATCTTTAACATAATATTAAGTGCAATATTCTGTTTTGGCAAGCTTAATCCATTTGTCATGGAGATGTAATACAGCCATATTTACCTAAGAATTCACTAAGATTGTGGAGAGAGCATGGTAAGGTTGTATGCTGATTTTACTGGTATGTATGAAATGTATTCCAGGTTTTCTTTAGGTATATATTAGCTATACCGGTACATTGGACTTCATGCAAGGAATATATGGTGCTCTGACACTAACACTTGGCAATATTCATGTTGATGGATATTTTATTGTATTTTTTTTATTTTGTGTCGTTTAAGTAGTGAGTAAAGTTAGGAGTTTGGTTTTTCATCGCAGCACAGTAGAGTATATTTATATAGAAGCTGCGCTATATAAATTGATCTAATTATTATTAATATTATTATTATTATTACCTGTATCTTCTACTAATAAATCAATACGTGTAGTCTCTGTGTAAGAATTGATGGCTTTATTCTTCTTCTTATCCATCACATTTATCCTGCGCCCAAGAAAGTGGTATGAATCTTGTTTGGGGTTTGATCTTGTGACCTTCGTGTCTCCATACAAGTGTTCATGCCATTTCTTTTCTCTTTTAGAAAATGTTTTAGAAATCTTCGGTTCTTACATTATATCAGGGACATGCATATTGCATTCGTGGGTGCATAATGAGTAGTAGTAATGATTTATTGAAATAAAAATCAACCACAGCTCAAAAGCCGAATTACAGGGTCTGTAAAATAGAAAAAGCAAACATGAAAATTACAGGAAACTGAATAGGTAATAACATGCAATAATTAAAGCAATGAAATCATGATGACAAAGATTAAGTAAAATAACGGAAATTCTTTTCCTATATGCAGTTTCATTAACTTTTCTTACATAATATTTTCTAATATATGTTTATTTTGCAAACGAGTATTATTTTTGCCGCGCCTATTATTGCTGTGTCATATCTTTCTAAATGTACTATGGAATTTTATTTTAACTGTTCTTTATAAACGTTATGCTTTTGGATGTAAATATGTTCATGTTTATTCAGGGCCCCATGGAAGACCACTACTTATTGGTGAATGGGCTACCCTGACAAAAGATTAGAAATAAATAAATAAATAAATTAATTAACCCCTGGTTTTGATCCCTCTGGTTTAACATCCTTTCAGGGACCCCTATATTCTCTTCTCCGGTGGACTAACATATGAGAAGTCCACGCAGACACCCAGCATCACCATTATGCAAGGCAAGACCACCACTGTACTAGAAATGGAACATTCTGTCGTAGACTTCCTCACTCTCTGTGAGAACCCCTGGCCGAGTAGTAAGTCCACAATTTTTTATTTTAATAATAATAATAATACTTTGTTCTTTTATAGTGCATTTCATGCGTGTTGACATTTCAATGCGCTTTACAACATATATAAAGTATAACATCGTTGATGCTAATTTGAAAAGATGAGTTTTGCAGTGGTCGTTGAATGTTCATCAAACGCATTATATATTACATGATAATGGTTCATATTACTTATCAAATAATTGTAATATATGTATCCTAATAATTATCACAAATCAAAATTATTTTATGAACAGTAGTCATCTAATTTCAGTTCATCCCGTCTTATAAAGAGTTGATATTAATCCACTTATTTGCTATAGGAGACTACAATCTTGCAATTGATTGGAGGATTTGCGATCGATATGGATCAACCACAACTCTTAATAAAACGGGGCCCAGGATTTTCTTTTATTGTTTTTGTGTTGTTGTTTTTTAATCAGTTTTACCATTTCTGTTTTTTATGTAACTAAATGTTAAATGCCTTGATTCATTCCTTAGGCTTGGATTGTTTGATGATGAAACATACATGTATCTAAACATATTTGACCTGTTACTAATCATAGCATTCTGCACTATTTTTCCTCTTAATAAACTGTTCTTGTTGTATAGAAATATGTAGATAAATTGAATTGCTAAAACCCTGGTGATATGACACTTAAAATGCATAATTCAAACATTCCATATATAAAAACCTCAACTCCATTCAGATCATTTATTTCCACTCAAACTTAAAATAAAACAGAGATAGATATATAAAGAGCTGTATTTCAAGCATGGAAATGATTGAAAATATTGATAAAAAAGGATGCTGCAATATAGCAAATGGTTGTGTTGCATGTTAAATGGACACAGATTGTAATATTCTTTGTTACTTAGCTCCTCATACAGGTTCTCATTCGGACATCCCTACCCTTCATGCAAATGCACCGGCAATCAATATCATTAGTATTGACCGGAGTATGATCAGACTAGTGCAGTATGCTAATGAGCTGTGACCACTGTTAAAGGTCGAGTGGGCTATAAATATGTCCATTCATCTTCACTTTCTCTCTCTCTCTCTCCCTCTCTCTATCTCTCTCTTTCTCTCTCTCTCTCTCTTTTACTTTTCTGTCTGTCTCTATCTCTCTCTCTCCCTCCCTACCTCTTCTCTCTCCCCTCATATCACACTATTTCTCTATCCCTCTCTCTCTCTCTCTCTCTCTATATATATATATATATAAATATATATATATATATCTATATCTCCCTCCATATCTTCCTCCCCCTTCTCTTTCTCTCTCTCTCTATCTCTTCCTTTCTCTCTCTCTCTCTCTTCTTTATCTCTCTTCTTTATCTCTCTTATCTAACTTCTCTCTCTATCTCTCTCTCTCTTACTTTTCTGTCTGTCTCTATCTCTCTCTCCCTCCCTACCTCTTCTCTCTACCCTCCTATCACAATATTTCTCTCCCCCCCTCTCTCTCTCTCTCTCTCTCTCTGTGTCCCCCTCTCTCTATATATCTATATCTCCCTCCATATCTCCCTCCCTCCCTCCCCTCCCCTTCTATCTCTCTCCTCTCTCTCTCTCTCCCTCTCTCTCTCTCCCTCCCTATCTCTCCCTCCCTCGTACCCTCTCTAAACCCAGATCCACAAGAACCCTATGCCGTGGTAGTCCTGCTGGAGAGTGATCTAGTGGTCGTTGACCTTCTGTCCCCAGGGTAAGTGGACACTGACCTTTAGGCGCTGACCTTTAGGCAGCTCGCCGCCTTGGTATAAGATATCAGAATGGGTCCCGGCTGATTGATGTGGCATACAATCCAATATATCTTCTATTTTTCCCCACTATGTAGAGTCAACTATTTTCATACACAGAACTATATTGATCAGGTTTTATGATGGGTTGCAATCCTTTAAAGTATGTCCTTTTAAAGATATTTATCACATCTTTTAGTTTATAGGTAAATGGGTACCTGGCAGGAATTAATGCTGGAGGGCTGTAATGGCAGCTAAGATAAAGCAGGGGTAATAATAAATGCGCCTCAGAATAGAATTTCTAGATAGACGGCACTATAGAAATGCCTATTATTATTATTATTATTTATATACAAAATTGAACAAAATCACTTGATATTTGAGTGATAATACTAACAAAAATGCTTCAACATCAATAATATGGACAGTTGAAGATGCTTAGGAGTTCCTCATAGGGATGCTGATCATAGAAGAATTGTCATAGAACCAAGTGAACGTAATACCATCATGAGGCTTAGAGTGCGTTCAAGCAAATTTTTGAAGCTAGAATCACAAACTTGAATCACAAATCAAAACGCTGTTGAAAAACATGGATACTGCAGGAGAGCGTTCAAGCAATTTTATTTTTTTATCAACGCTGATTCTCGCCCATTTCAAGCCCAGCCACTGCTCATCACACTGCAGTTTCACCCAGGAAATATAGGTCAACTTTGCCGCATGCTTTCTGTCTGTGTTTACGGTCGACTGTCGGTCAAACCGGAAGCAGGCCACGATAATGACCTCATAGAATCATGATTGAGATCTCTATTCGTTCAAGCAAATTTTAGCGACCGTGGTTCTGCAGAATCACGATACAAAATGCATCTTTTTCAGCGTTTCATGTTTGTGTTTATATCTCGTTAATTTTACGACGTACGAAATATCGCTTGAACACAACCGTGTTTTAAACTAAACGTCTTTGAAAACCGTGATTCTTGGGTGAAAAAGTGCCAATTGAACGCACCCTTACATGTATTTCAATGTGATTGTTTGTTGCTTTGTTGTAGGTATCCTTGCTTTGAGAACCCGTATCCGATGGACCTACATGAATCTCCTATAACATGTGTACAGTACTATGCAGACTGCCCGTCAGATCTTATACCTGCTCTCTATTCCACTGGAGCTAATGGCCTCAACAGGAAGAAGACAGCCTACAGTAAGAGGGTAAGAATATTCAAAACCTAGCATTTGAATTAAAACTTTTACTTTTGTGAATCCTCTTCCTCGTCCTTCTCCTCTTCATCATCCTCCTACTCATCTTCCTCCTTCTCCTTCTCCTCCTCGTCTTCATCTTTCTCCTCTTCCTCCCTCCTCTTCTTCCTCCCTCCTCCCTCCTCCTTCCTCCTCTTCCTCCTCCCTCCTCCCTCCTCCTCTTCCTCCTTATCTTCCTCTTTCTCCTCCTCCTCGTCCTCCTACTCCTACTCCTCCTCCTCCTCCTCCTCCTCCTCCTCCTCCTCCTCCTCCTCCTCCTTCTCCTCCTCCTCCTCCGCCTTCTCCTCCTCCTCCTCCTTCTTCTTCTCCTTCTCCTCCTCCTCCCCCTCATCTTCCTCTTCCTCTTCCTCCTCCTTCTCCTCCTCCTTCTTCTCCTCCTCCTTCTTCTCCTCCTCCTCCTCCTCCTCCTTCTCATCTTCCTCTTTCTCCTCCTTCTCCTCTTCCTCCTTCTTCTCCTTCTCCTCCTTCTCTTCCTCCTCTTCCTCCTCCTCCTCCTCCTCCTCCTCTTCCTCCCCCTATTCCTCCTCTTCCTCCTCCTTCTCGTACTCCTCCTCTTCCTCCTTTTCCTCCTACTTCTCCTCTTCCTCCTTCTTCTCCTCTTCCTCCTCCTCCTCCTCCTCCTCCTCCTCCTCCTCCTCCTCCTTCTTTTCCTCCTCCTCCTCCTCCTCCTCCTCCTCCTCCTCCTCCTCCTCCTCCTCCTCCTCCTCCTCCTCCTCCTCCTCCTCCTCCTCCTCCTCCTCCTCCTCATACTCCTCCTCCTACTCATACTCCTCAGTCTCCTTCTCCTTCTCCACTACTTCTAAGAATTTGCTGTACGCTTCTGCTTTTATCTCGCCTCCTCCAACACATCATCACCTTGTTCTTCCTCCTCTTATTTGTCTTCAATTTTTATTTCCCACCTTCACTATCTTCTTATTTCTCAACATTTCCATCTTCTTCGTCCTTCTCCTCCTCTTCTTCCTTCTACATCTATCTTCTCCTCTGCTAACCCCTCCTTTCCTTTCATCCTCGTTCCACTCCTACCTCCACTACTACATTCAGTTTCCATCATCATTTTGCATCTCCTACCTTATATTTGTTTTGGGCTTTTTTATCCTGTTCTTCTTCTTCTTCTTCTCCTGCTCCCCCTACTTTTCTTCTCAAATTCCTCCTTTCCTTTCCTATTTTCTTCTTTTAAGCCTCCTTACCATCATTGAATGGCAGTACATATTTAGTCTCCTTCTTACCCAATATCTCCAATCTAATGTAATAATACTGGCTGTGATTCCTACAAGCTATTATACTCCTAGATCATTGTCCTTAAAGTCTTTCATTTCTGTATTAGGCTATCATTGTTGTAGTCTTTGATTCCTCCTACATTGTACATACACTCAGCCATCATGTCTGATGTCATTTGGTGTCTCAGGAATGCCCAGAGTTCCTGAGTGGCATATGAGTAATACCCGTAACCGAGTTCCTGTATTGGTCACACAAAGTCTAGACATGTGATCCATGAATACACTTCCCTTGTGACCGTGGCTTACACTCTCTTTTAGCTGACAATATGTAGATTTTTAGTAAAGAAATGACATCACAAGTGTAGATGGCAGTCTACTCACAAGTGCCAAAATGACATTGCATGTAACTTAGTATCAGCTTTTGTGAGTAGAAGCTTAATGAGCCAGATGTTAGTTTACTCAAAAGTGTTTAAAATGACGTTGGTTCCTTTTGCTAGTAATCTTGTGGCAGCTTTTGGGAAGACACGTAAATGACAGTTTACTTAAAACCTCCAAAATGACAATGTGTCCTTTTGCAACTAACCTTGTATCAGTTTGAATGAGTTGGAAGTCAGGTGAGCCAGATGGCTGCCTACTCAAATGTGTAAAAAATGACATTGTATCCTTTTGCAAATAACCTCAAAAGTGTAAAAACATACATTGTTTCATTTTGCAAATAACCATAAAGTCTTCTGAAAATTTGTTAAAGATTATATTGTGTTCTTTTGCGAGTTACCAAATGTCATGGTTATTTTAGTAACCTATCTACTAACAGCTATTGTGAGTAGATGGCAATGTGCTCAAAAGTGTCAAAATGACACTGTGTCCTTTTGCAAGTAAACTTGTTTCACATTGTGTGAGCAGGAGTTTGGTTAGACCAATATATCCCTCCAAGGAGACAAAGTAACACGCTGTAGTGTTAGAATTATCACTTGGTGTCACAGCGATACTACCCATGCCAGCTGCCTGGAGTCCAAGGTATTCAGATTGACAGGCTCCTCTCCTTTTCTTCTGAATTTGAGCATGGTTATGAATTTGTTTGTTAGTGATTTGGTATGGTGGTTATAAATCTTGGGACCTTTATTTTGGGTATCTATTTACCACCCCCCCTCACCCCTTTCTAGCTCCCTTCATCTCCCTCACTTTATCCCTCTCTCTCTCTTTCTCTCTCTTTTTCTCTCTCTCTCTCTTTCTCTCTCTCTCTCACTATGTCTCTCTCACACTATCTCTCTCTCTCTCTCCATCTCCTTCCTCCTCTCTTCCTTTCTTTCTCACTCTCCCTTCGTCCCCTCTCCTCCCCCTTCCCTTCTCTCTCTCTCCCCATCCCTCCTCCTTTCCCCTCCCTCTCTCTCTCGCCCTTCCCACCCCTCCCCCTCTCTCTCCCCTCCCTCTATCTCTCTTTATTTCCCTCCCTCACTCTCTCTCTCCCTTACCTTTCCTTCCCCCTCCCTCTCTCTCCCCTCCCCTTCCCTTTTCCTCTCCTCTGTCTGACCCTTCCCTCCCCTTCCCCCTCCCTCTCTCTCCCCTTTTCTCCCCTTCCCTTCATCCTCTACCCCTCCCTCTCTCTTTCTCTCTCTCTCTCCCTCGCTAGCTCTCCCCCCCCCCCCTCCCCCTCCCCTACACCCTCCCCCTCACCTCACCCACCCTACACCCCAGCCCTCCCCCTCCCCTACACCCCACACACCCTACACCCCAGCTCAAGGTGTCAGTGTGCACTCTTCTCTAATCAATAATCCAGGGAATGTTCTAAACATCGTGACATTTCCCTGCTAGCACCTTCATGCACTGGGGGTTTTATGTCCTTATTTTGGAGTACCAACTTGGATATGATAATCACGATCTCATAATGAATGTGTTTTTCTCAAACGTACTGTACGCTGAGAGGCTATGACCAGTTTATATCATAAAGGGCATCTCGTCTTGTTTTCATACTCGTAGACATTTCACAGGACTTCGTACAAATACAAGTACATGTATACATACAAGTATACATCTACTTTCCTCCCGTTTTATACAAATAGCATATTACAATATGCTACTTCATATAAGTAAATTGTGCACGTATTTAGTTTCTAGTGTTTGTAATATTACATGCAACATATTCTTTATTGGAAAATGTACTGGTACTCTTTTGATGAATATGTTAGTAGGTCTTGAAGGACATGCTAAGTAGTTGTATTGTGTTGAACATCTGTGTACTACATGTGTATCTTGAGCCACTATAAGGATACACAAATGGACTTGATAGACATATGTTGAGACACATGTATGTCTTTTGTACATACATGTACGTCTGCTGTATATTCATTTTAATTAACATTTATTTCCTTTACAAAAACAAGATGAAAATATTGTAAGATGTGTATTTACAATATTCTATGGGAAGAAGGCAAAGTTCCCTATAAGCATGAGGCCTATAGTGGGATAGCCATTACAACAAAAACATATGATACATGTACATGCAAACTATATAATAGTCATAATCTACATGAAATACCTGTAAAAATAAAGAGATAAAGAGATAAATAAAGATAAGAGAGAAAATTATCTTTGAATGAAGTTGCATGTAGTTTTTGTGAGGTTTACTGAAATCCATACTTCCCTGCCTAAAAGAGAGATTTTTTTTTTGCACCTATGTATTAAAAGGAGATTAATATTGTTATTGTGTAAATGGCTACTGAATGACAATATGTTGGTAAACTCTAGGTAAATTAATATTTTGAAGCGTCTAAAAATATCTATGTCATACCTAGGCCCTATCTTATAAAGAGCTGTGATTGATCCAAATCAACTTTAAGTTTGCAGTGTGCTTTCTTGTATAAACATAGTTGCAAATGATATCAATCACAAATAAGTTGCAATTAATATCAACTCTTTATAAGACGTGGCCCTGGATATAACAATACACTTATTTGGTTTTTGATACCTCATGCAGAAGATAAATCTAAGTGTGAAATGATATCTCTAAGTCAAGTACATTCACCAATCTTCACAGCCATTTTATTCATGATGTGAACATTGTAATAAAACCTTTAGTTTGCAATTCTGTGAGGGGCTACATGTGGTTGTACAACACTTGCTCCTGTAACAATTGCTGTGTAAATTTCCTACATAACTGAATTCATTACTAACCTAAGCCTCACCCAACCATAACCCTAATATAAAACCCTCTTACAACCCCAACTCTAAACCCTAACCTAAATCCTTGTTACAACCCCAACTCTAACCCTTACCTAAAACCCAGTTGCAACCCCAACCATAACTCTATACCTCTGATGAAATAAAGCCTGGAGCAGTTGCCACAGGAACAAATATCTGGCCACTGATACATGTTGTTGTCTATACACTTATTTTATTTGGAACGGTTTTCCTCTTCTTTCTCCCACAGAATTGGCCAGTGAAAGGAGGAGAATGGGGATCTGGTGGAAGCAGTGATCAGGAAATCATCATCACAGGGTAAGATGGGCGTGGAAATTGAAATGATGGTGTTGCGGTGGTAGTATTGGTAGCATTGATGATGGTGGTTGATATGATAGATATTGTGTTGGCATTTTTGTTAGTTATGGAAGTGGTGGTGAAGAACTACCAACCAGTATGATTTAATCGTATTTTGTAGGATTTTTAGAAGTAAATACGAACATACAATTTTCCAAAAAATGTCAATGGCAAAATGCCCATTCTGTCCTGTAAAGTATCCTACAAGCATCTCACATAAGCAATTTGAGGATGTTCATTGGTTCATCGAACACACCAGTCATGACGAAATCGTGCATAGTCAACAAATGATCCATGCAAATTTTCTTCCTGTACATGTTTGTAGAAACTGTAAACAGCATTGATTTGTGTTTTTTTTTTAAATACAATCTTTGTCATTAAAATACAACTTTTGGGATTAAAGAATACAGTTTTTGAACTCCAGAGGTTGGCAGGTCTAGTGATGAATGAGGAGGTGGTAGTGATGGTGGTGATGATGTTGGAGGTGGTGATGATGATGATGGTGATGGTAATGGTAACAGTGATGGTGCTGGTGGTGTTAGTGATGATGATGATGACAGAGATCGAGATGACGATGATGATGATGGTGGTGGTGATCGTGAAGGAGATGGTAGTGGTGGTGATTGTAACAGTGGCGATGATGCTGGTGGTTGTGGTAGTGACGATGGTGATGGTGATGGTGAGGATAATGGTTGTGGCCATTGTTTGTGGGATGATGAGGATAGTGAACATGGTAAAGATAATGGCAATGTTAGTCATAGTGGATGATGATGATCATGTTAATGTTCTGACAATTTCAAATGCAATAGATTTTTAACATTATTACAGAAATTGACACATTGAGAATTTGAACCATTTGTAAATAATACAAAGAATACTGTAAAATTTAACCTACACATACTCTCTCTCTATCTATCTCTCTATCTCTCTCTCTCTCTCTCTCTTTCTCTTTCTCTCTCTCTCTCTCTCTCTCTCTCTCTTTCTCTCTCTCCAGGCATGCTGATGGCTCAATCAAATTTTGGGATGCATCACAAGGTAAGAAACATCATTTTATTTTGTCATAAAATAAATTTGCCACCAAACACAGAATCATTGTATTGAAGTCATTTATAATCAATGTACTGCTTGTCAAGAATATGATACCCACTGCCAAACTATTCATTCTAAAGTAAGTTTGAAAACTAATTCTTTATTCTGGTTATTTTTATATAATGATGTGATTTTTTTTTTTTGTTAATTACAAATATTTATGTTTCTCGGTTTTTGTATAACTTAATAAGAAAACTACTTTAGATACAAACTTACTTACTTTTAGTGATGTACATAGATATTTTACTTAATTAAATTCAATTCAATTCTTTATTGAACCAGTATAAAACAGTTTACAATGAAAATATACAAATATACAATATAATGGTTAGGACCCCTTAGAAGAAGAAATCTTCTTGTAATCGGGGCACTGTAACAAACAATAACAACATAATGAACATAAATTAACAATAAAAAGTAAAAGACTTGCATAATACAAGTACGCACAAAACACATCAACACACACATCCATAAAGAAGGTTACACAGAAAGAATAGAAAGGAGAAAAAAGTAGTGTAATGATATTGATCATTTGTTTTTTTATCTTTCATCTCTTGCAGTCATGCTTCAAGTTCTCTACAAGCTCAAGACGGCCAAGGTCTTTGAGAAGGCCAAACAAGCCAAGACGCTAGACGGCGATGATGACCCATTCGCCATCCAGCTGGTCAAGCTGTGCTCAGAGAGCAGGATGCTCTGCGTGGCTGGAGCCAGCGGTCATCTACTGCTCTACCGCTTCAGCAAGATGGAGGCATCCACAGAGCTACCGGTCAGTATATGGGAAGAGAGAGAGAGTTAGGAAGAGAGTGAGAGAGAGAGAGAGAGAGAGAGAGTTGGGAAGAGAGAGAGAGAGTTGGGAAGAGAGAGAGAGAGAGAGTTAGGAAGAGCAAGAGAAAGAGTTTGGGAGAGAGAGAGAAAAAGTTAGGAAGAAAGAGAGAAAGTTGGAGAGAGAGAGAGAGAGTTGGGGAGAGAGAAAGAGTTGGGGAGAGAGAAAGAAGGGAGAGAGAAAGAAGAAGAGTGAGAGATAGAGACAGACGAACAAGGAGAGAGATAAAGACCGTCTAGAGACAAAAGATGGTAGAATTTACAGTTACATTGTAGTTTGAAAGACAAAAAGAAATTTAAGTTTATAGAATTCTTAAGGTAGTTTTTCGGGTATTTTCACTATTTGAATGAGATTTACTGCTGTGTTAGATATGTGAATATTTAAAATTCACAGGTAAAAAAAGAATTCTGTGACAGAAATGATTATAATCGTGATCATATTTACTTCTTGATGTAGATGTTCAAAGAGCTTTTCAAGTACCGGTATGTTTTCAAAAAAAATGCAGCATCTACAAGTTATGCATTTACATATATTAACAAAATTCAAAGGTCATTAGAAATATATACATGTACCCATTGACTTCTAATTGTGTGTGTGTGTGTAATTGGGTTTTTACAGACGTGTATCAATCAGATATGATTATTTACGTCTGGGGACTGACCTTTAACGTCACCATCCGAAAGATGTGACTCACTGTTTCGAACCTGCGTCCTCGGCTGAATCAGTTTGTAACTTCCACTTTTTAGCTGGATTACAGGCGCACGCCACAACGCCTAGTTGTTTCTCCAATTTCTCCAATTCACATAGGCGTAATACAAGGACCAACCGGTTCCAGTAGGCAAGTGGTTAAGAGCCTAGAGCATTATCTTGTGTCATTTTGCATAGACACAACACCTGTCTAGCTTCTCGTGGATGATACATGTTTGCTTAGTAATGAGTATAACATCATCGTTTTGTTCTTGTAAACCTTGCAGACACTAGAGATCTCAATAGTATACGAGGCTGAGGAGCCAGAAACACCAGAGACTGAGATGCCCCCTATGCCGATCCAACCCGCACCCCTCAAGCGCAACACCAGCACTGTCAGCGCCAGCGGCGTGGCCTCGGCGACAACCCTCCCCTCCACGCCCATCCACCAGTCGTCGACGCCCGCTCCTAGCCCCATCAACCACCCCCATCATCACCACCAGCACCAGGGGCAGCACCAGGGGCAGGGGCAGCACCAGCAGGGGCACTCCCACCAGACGAGCGGGGATGGGCTGAGGGACAACGTGCCCAACCTGAGGGTCAAGAGTGGGGCTCATAAGAGGGGGATGGGGTTCCAGCCCTCCCTATGTCTGCAGCTGCTGTGGGTGGATGGGGAACCCCCTCCCACCATCACCACTGTGGAGATCAGCTCAGCCTATGGCTTGTGAGTACAGCATCTCATTAAAAACAGGATTTTTAAAAGTATAAACCAGTTCTGTTCATGCGATTGCATTGTGAAAGAAATGAGGAATCGATCAGAAATGGTTGATCATCTAGCATATGAGTATTGGTGTGTACTGCAAGGTTCTGGGATCATCAAAATGATAAGAAATTTTGCCCAGTCTTGGTAAAGTTTCAAGCACTGTCACAGAAAGGTGTATATGGGACTACCCTATATCTATCCAGTCCGGATAGATATAATAATTTACAAATATAGGCGGTTTCTCGGCAAAATTTGTATCATCTTTAATATGATTGGTTATAAGAGCTTCCATTTCATTTTTTGAGAGGGGGGCATTTCCAAAACTGGCCTTTACCTTTAAGGGCTAAATGTATTTCTCTTTTAAGTTGACAACATTGTGATTGTTCTCTTTATCTCAAAGGTATGCCAGAAAGTTTAAAAACTAGTGATATATTGAAGTTTTTCACCCATTGTCAATTTCAAGATTTCAATGCTTTGAAATTCCTGGTGTCCGACAAATACCCTATGGAAACCTACCAAAAATTCACACAGTATGGGCAGATTTGTCAAAAAAGTTATTAATTGATTTTTTTTTTTTTTCATCATTATTTTTGTTCATTCTACTCTGGTATGTTTTGAGGACTCTGAATCAAAAGGTATTAATCCAAACTACAAAATCTAAGCAATTGATCTATCTAGTGATATGGGTTATAGACACTACTGCTACGTATACTGAACATACATGTAAGTATCAAGTGCTACACAATTATAAACTGTTATATACATGTGTACCTCTCTTTAGAAATCTAGCCATCTGAATGGTCGAATTTGGAGTCGTGAGTTTAGCCATTTCCATAAAGAAACAAACAATGTCAGTAACGGTCAATAGTTCATGAGTGAGATTCCCGAAAGATTAAAAACCGGGAAAATAGTTGAATTTTGATGAGATCCCCATTGGTTTACGTTTTAAAAGTTACTTTGTGCAAGCACGGATACCATACAATGCTTTTTGTCTGCAATTCCCAAATGTTTGTAACATTCAGTCATCTTTCCAGCAGGATGCAACGTCCCCTTGAGCCTATAAAAACAGCCAGGCCTCTAATAGCAGTTGATATATCTATGCTATCATTTGGATTTTAAATACATTATCGCTCTGTTCCCAGATTGGCTTTTGGCACCACCAACGGGCTGGCAATTGTCGACTACCTTCAGCGGACCTGTCTTCTCAACATGGGCACGCCCGACCTGTATGGCTCAGCTGACCCTTACCAGCGCACCCCGAGATCCCCCAAGAAGAACAAATCACAGCCCCAGGGCCTGGGCGACATCGTAGAGCAGTACATGTCCGACCAGGAGAGGTGTCGGTCACCGGTCGGATCCAACATTGGCGGAGAGTCGGTAAGTTTTTTGTGTGTCTTAAAGGCCCACTGTACTACTTATAGCTACTTGTGCCCTCTATAAAGCAAACAATGCCCAATCGGTGCCCGTTGGTCCCCCATGATCCCCTTTTTCCTATGTTAATTGAGAGCGGATTTGATGAGATAACCACTTGTCAGTGACCTTGCAGGGAGGGCTAATCCCCCTGGCCAAACTAGTACAGACAGGCTTTAACTTGAATAGAAGAAAACTTGCAGGATTTCAGTCGGAGTCATTGGAACTTTATGAGAATTAATGTCTGTAAGTTCCAAGTTATCAAATAAGACTGTAAATGTCATGTGATACCAACAATAAATTAGTGTATGCTCATTGCTTGTTAATACCTTGTGCACACTTAAGAATAATGTCAAGTCCCAGCCTTGTAATCAAGAAATATGCGTAAATATTTAATAATTGCTATTATTGACATGAATTCCATATGATATAACCTTCATCTTTATTGGTGTTTCCTTAGAGTGTATTTATTCATTTTCTTCATTTTTCTCATTTTGCTTCATTTGTTGTTGTTGGAATGTCACTCACAACTTGACTCTCCCTTTTTTTTCTCTCTCTTTTGTTGATTCTCTCTTTCCCCTCTCTCCCTCGCTCCCCTCTCTTAATTCCCTCTCTCTCTCTCTTTCTCCACTCTCTCTCTCTCTCTCTCTCTCTCTCTCTCTCTCCCACTGCAGAATGGAGTCTGCATCAGCCCGACCGGCAACAGCGCGATGCGGAGCGGCAGCGGCGGTGGGGTCAAGCCCCGCAACAACCACGACCCGTCACAGCTCCGGCGCAGTAAGTCCCAGGGCTGTCGCAAGATGATGGCCAAGACACAGTCCACCGTCTCGGATACCGGAGGACCCAATGGGGATGGAGGAGGAGGAGGAGGAGGAGGAGGAGGCATGGGAGGAGGAGCCGGAGGTAGCTCGGACGTTACCATGGGCTGCATGGGTGGATTGTTGAGTTAGTGGCCTAGCAAAACTAACACATTACCCCTTCCTATCCTCTTTTTCTTTTCAATTCATTTCTCAATCCTAAAGCCTTCCACGTTTCTTTTAAGTTAAACTCCTCAAGTAGATATCATTTCATTAACAACCTTTGTCAGTCATTAAATTCTTCCATCTTTCATCTTCTTTCAAATTTAACCTCTTTAAAAGAGATCAGAGTATTGCCTTTTTCTTTCCTAAAGCCTTACTCATTTCTTCTTAAATTAAACTCTAAAGTAGCTGTAGCTCACAAAAGCTTCCTCAGTCATCAATTCTTCCATCTCTCATATTCCTTTCAAACTCTACCTCAGAAATAGTTTAGATTAAATGTTCATGCCTTCTTCATTTCTTTGTAAGTTAAACTCTTGAAGCAGATTTAGCTAGTTAAAACATTTCTCAATCGTCAAGTCTTCCATCTCTCACATTCCTTTGAGTTCAAAGTTGGAAAGACATATTTAATGTTTATGCCTTTCTCATTCCTACAGCTGTTCTCTTTTCTTTTAGTTTAAACTTCTAAAATAGATATATCTTATCATAATAGACTTTGTCAATCATGTAGCCATCCTCCTTTCAATTTCTTTTCATGTTAGACCTCTAAAAAAAAAGCCTTACTTCTATTCCTGTTATAGCAGTTAAGCCTAATTTTATTCACTTTCTCATTAACTTAGATGTCTGGAAATATATCTTATCATAAAGGTTTTGCCTTTCTCAATTAGTTCCTTAAGTTTTTCCTTCATTTGTATTCTTTTCAATTTAAACCTCTATTAAAAAGAAGTAGAATTCATCATAATTGCCTGTCACTTTCTAAGCCCTTTTTCTATCGCATATTATGTGACCATTTATCTTTAGAGAATTAAAATAATTGGTCCTTAAAACCGTTCTACTTCCTTCTGAAATAGATACATATGATCTCTAAATGGCAATGCCTAAGTTCTTAGTGTATTCTCTGCTTCATCCTTTCAAATAGAGACCAAATTATTATTGTAAATAATTTTCTCTGTTCTTGGATAATGTTTGTATATTCTCTATAGGAGATAAATATGGGTATATCTTCAGCCTCTCTTTCAACTTGAACACTTTTCTTATTCATTTCATTTGGAACAAGTATTCATTCAGTCCTATAATTCACCACTCTTCATCGCATTTTTCCAAAGGGACATGCTTTTCAGACTTCTCTGCAACGTCCATTTCCAGTCTCTATTCTACATTTATCTTATTCAATCCTTTTGGCATAGAAACTCTTCAGAAATCTCTCTGTGTTCTTATCAAATTCTCCATTTCTCTCTAATTATAAACTCAATCTGAGCCTGAATGTATTAAATTGAATGTATGCTTCTTCAAATTAGTTATGCATTTGACAGCAATAAACCTTGCAATGACATTTGGCACCACCCTTGGTTAAAACCTTGTAGAATTTCAAATAAACTAACAACAATAAAAAGTTCATTCGTCCCAAGTGATCTGTCTCAACAGTTTTTCTCTAAAAAGATTCTCTCTTTAATCTTGAGTTTTCCTATTGTTTAAAGTATTGTTCAGCCAATCTGTGGTTTCTCCTGTAATTAAAGAGAAGAAGCTACTCTTCCAACACATGTAGTTATATCCATGTAGTGTGCAATCATTATCAAATGATTTGCTTGTAGACCTCAGATAATATATTAAAGTTAAATTCATAATGCCCTCTCTCAACTCATATCCGTTCTATTCAAATGATCACATTCATGAATACCTTCTCTAATTTGGGGCTGTTCTCTCCGGTTATTTAAAGAAGAAAGTGCCCATTTTTCTTTTTTCTTTCTTATGAATATGTCATTAGTTTGAATCAGACTTATTCCTTTCACCTCGCATTATTTCTTTCATTTTAGAAATGGTTTTCTCTTCTGCCCTTAAACTAATACCGCACTTATTTGCTTCAATAGCTCAAAAATAAGTAGTTGCCACTTTTAGTCTTCTACTTCATAGTTTAGATTCAAATAAAACACCTTGCTACTTTCATTTAAGCCTCGGTCACAAATGCCATTACGAACTGCTACGAACGCCGTACAAAAGATTTTCTGACAATGGAAATTCGGGAAGACAATGGAAAAAACGGGGAGATTCGTACGAAATTATCGTTCGTACGAACCTTTGTGACCGTAGCATTAAACATTCTTTATTCCGCTGCCATTCTAATTTTAACATCCTTTCATCATCCTGCGTACTAATCTCCAGCTTTGCATTAGATTTCTCTCCCTTCACCCATACAGGTCCACCCCTCCCGTTCCTAAATCCATAACTAACAAGAAACCGAAAAAACATGCTCATTAGATGCAGATATATATGCATGTCCCTACCAAACTGGAAATGTATTCTACCGTCAACAACTTTGGTGCTTTGTCATTTTCTTGAAGTATATTTAGAGCATTGTAGTTATACCCATATACTCAAGTACATGTACATGTATGCTGTACCCCAAATCTAGTTCCTCTTGATCCTTTATGTACCTCTTTCAACTTTTGTTTGATGCCTTTTCTCAATTTCATTTGGAGATTATTTTACCACCATCCTGACTTTCTTTTAGGGGGAGAGCTGTAAACTTCTTTTTTTTTTTGGTGGGGGGGGGGGGGGGAGCAAATTTATACAAATCCTTTCCATAAACAATAATTACTGGGTTTCTAGTAATTCTTTGTATTGATCAAAAGTTATCCATTCTAAACCATTTTAAATCAGCAGCGTAAACATTCCAAGTTTTCTTTAAGATATCTCTGTTATCAGTCAGAAATTGATCAAGTTTGAAGGTGCTAATTTACTTGAAAATGACAGGTGAAATAGAAAGAAAATAAAAAGTTTAAAAAGTATTATCAGACATTTTATGGAGCCTTTTAGGTTTTAAAAATAATTAAAAGAGGGCATAGTTTTTTTTTGTGCTTAAGGTATGCTACATTTGGTTTTAAATCTACCAGGCTGGAGATACCCATGATAAGATTATAAGTAGGGTTAGTTCTCCATCAATCGAAACCGTATTTAAATTGCATGCTCCATGTATTTATGATATCTCAGTAGAATTTTCAACCATTTCTGGACCATAACAACCATAAAAACTACTTTGGCAGTCTTCTCTTCTTCCCATTCTCAAATTCTTTCCACCCTCTAATATTTTCCCTCTCTCGTCAACTTTTAATACCAAGTCCCCTGGTTGATCTCTCGCCCTTATACAGCAACATTTTTCAGAAAGATCCTTCTCCTACGTAGGGCTTTCTCCCTCAAGAAACCCAGCAAATATGGTATCGTTCACTCCGTTCAGCAAGATTTGCCTGAGCCTGGGAATGAGGCTAGCATGATGACCTTTGTCCTGCATAAGAGGGCATTGACCTCCCGACCTCTTACCTTTGACCTCCATCCCCATTTGACCTCCGATTCCTGTAGAGTATGTATGCTTGCACTGCACTGCTATGAATTCTTGTGTCTTTTTTGCTTGTGAATCTTATAGTTAATCTTATAGTTAATCTCTTTTTTATCTCTACTTTAAAATTTTAAGTCTTATAATTACACCTTTTTTTTCTTCATTTAAATGCAGTCTTGAGAAATTGTATTTTTATATTATGTTGACTGTTTTGAAGAAAAAAATTAAATATTTGAATGCCATGTCATCTGTTATTGTAACCTATCACATTGTAAACCTGCAATTACTCAAATCATAAAGAATAACCAAATTTTCTCAATTTTAGTTTGCAAGGTAAAGAAAATCAATCGCAAATTCCATTGCCTTCATATAACATATACTATAGGCAGTGTGCTGGGACATAGAAGTATTGCTAGGTTAATTGTGTGGAATTAATTCCTTGAAATGCTAGAGCGCCATAATGGCCGCCTTGCTAAAGCCAGGGTAATAATCGGGGCAGCACCAGGAGCGTCACAACGTGACCGACATGTGCGCTATATAAGAAGCCATTATTATCATTATTATTATTGTACTATCGATATACTATTGGCATACTTTCCTTACACTATTGGTATACTATCGGTATACTATCGATTTACTACCTGTTTACTATTGGTATACTATCGATTTACTATCTGTTTACTATCTGTTTACTATCGATTTACTATTGGTATACTATCGGTATACTACCGGTATACTCGTTTTTATTCCAATGTTGATGTTATAGGTTGTGTAACAGAAGACTTGGCATCATTCTCTTTTTTAGAAGTTAATTTGCACTTTTTTAAATATGATGATCATCTCCTTATCCACAATTTTGTAAAGTGTGATTCTTAAGTGAATATATTATATTCATACAATAGATTAAGTCATTGTATCCTTTTTGGACTTGATATTTATTTGTTGTTGTTTTTTCCTCCAAAGTAAACTCATTGAAATCATGAGATACTACTATTCTTCAATACCAAAACAATATATGTGATTGGCATTCCAAAATATCTTTTGAATATAGATGGAAGATTGTGTGTTTTGATTTTGATTACACAGAAATACTTCTCCAAACGAAAGTTATTGAGTGCCCTACTTCATCACAATGATATATTCACTTAAGATCATATGTCTACCAGAGCCAGAAGGGCGTTTAGTTTTGTATTACAATATGGATTAATGTCCTTCTGTCTCTCAGTAAACTACTGGTATTTTGTTTCCTCTTTTTTGATGAATCGTTGATATATTTTGTTTTCAGTTGGGTTGCAAAAAGATGTAGTTATGTGTATTTTTTAACACTTACATCCTTTGGCAACCGACTTCTTGACTTTGATTTATAGGTTTTAAACTGAACTTGTTGAATCGGTCATGAATTTGATTTTTGATCTAATCATTTATTTGTT